GGCCACGTCTACCTCCAGGGTTATTGCCATTCTCACAAAGGTGAGGATAAGTCACCATGGGGACCATTGCTCCTCTGCAGGCTCTGACACTTTCCGGGGCATATAAAGCCCATGAAGAACTGAGATGTTTTCTGAGAAGACAGCATACCCAGAGAAGACAATGAAAAATGAAAAAAACAACAGGAGTAGAAACTTGCCAATAGTGGTGTCAAGTGGTGTGTTAGTTACCAATTGCTGTGCAACAAAGTATCAGCAAACCTAGCAGCTTAAAACAAACAAAAAATTTGTTCTTTAACAAAGACTGAGAGTCAGGAATAAGAAAATTGGCTTGGCTGGAGAGTTTGGCTCAGGGTATCTCATTAGGTTGCAGGAAAGATATCAGCCAGGGTTACAGTCATCTGAAGGCTTGACTGGGCTGGAGGATCTACTTCTAAGATTTCTCACTCAAACTATTGGCAGAAAACCACAGTTTCTCACCATGTGAACCTCTCCATAGGGCTGCTTGAATATCCTTATCACATGGCAGCTGGCTTCATCCAGGTGATTGTTCTAAGAGCAAAGAGGAAACTGCAATACCTTTTATGAGCTGGTCTCAGAAGTTACATGCTGCCATGTTCACCATGTAACATACTCATTAGAAAAAAGCTAGAGAAGGGCAATTAAGCTGCCTCTCTGTATCAGTCTGTTCTCACACTGCTAATAAAGACATATCTAAGACTGGGTAGTTTATAAAGGAAAGAGATTGAATTGACACCATTCCACATGGCTGAGGTGGCATCACAATCATGACAGAAGATGAAGGAAGAGCAAAGTCACATCTTACACAGTAGCAGGCAAGAGAGCTTATACTGGGGAATGCCCCTTTAAACAGCCATCAGATCTCATGAGACTTATTCACAATAATGAGAACGGCACAGGAAAGAACTGTCCCCATGATTCAATTATATCCCACTTGGTTCCTTCTATGACATATGGGAATTATGAGAGCAACAATAAAAGATGAACTTTGGGTAGGAACACAGCCAACCCCTGGCTCCTCCCAAACCACATGTCCTCATGTTTCAAAACCAATCATGCCTTCCCAACAGTCCCCCAAAGTCTTAACTCATTTCACTATTAACTCAAAAGTTCACAGTCCAAAGTCTCATCTTCCATCAAAAGAAAGTTAGTTACTTCCTAAATACAATGGGAGTACAGGCATTGGGTAAATACAGCCATTCCAAATGGAAGAAATTAGCCAAAACCAAGGGGCTACAGGCCCTATGCAAGTTCAAAAATCCAGCAGGCAGTCAAGTCTTAAAGCTTCAAAATTATCTCCATTGAGTCCATGTCTCATGTCCAGGTCAGGTGCAAGATGATGCAAGAGGTGGGTTCCCATGGTCTTGGGCAGCTCCACCCCTGTGACTTTGCAGGGTACAGCCCTCCTCCTGGCTGCTCTCATGGGCTATTATTGAGTGTCTGTGGCATTTCAGGCACAGTTTAAGCTGTGTCAGTGGATCTACCCTTCTGGGATCTGGAGGACAGTGACCCTTTTCTCACAGCTCCACTAGGTAGCACCTCAGTGGGGGCATTGTGTGGGGGTTCCTACCCCACATTTCCCTTCTGCACTACCCTAGCAGAGGTTCTCCATGAGGGCTCTGCCCATGCCACACTCCTCTGCTTGGACATTTAGGCATTTCCAAACTTCCTCTGAAATCTAGGGAGAGGTTCCCAAACCTCGATTCTTGACTTTTGTGCACCCACAGGCTCAACACCATGTGGATGCTGCCAAGGGTTGAGACTAGTACCCTCTGAAGCCATGGCCCAACTGTACCTTTGCCCTTTTTAGGAAAGGCTGGAGTGGAGGAGGAAAATTTATTTTTTAAACAAATTAAAAAAATTTTTTTTAATTTTTTAAATAAGAAAAATTTATTTTTTAACAGAGACTGAGAGTCAGCCTGGATCTTATTGTCCATATCACTATCAGCATTTTGGTCAAAGCCATTCAGTGAGTCTCTAGGAAGCTCCAAACTTTCCCACATCCTCCTATCTTCTGAGCCCTCCAAACTGTTCCAACCTCTGCCTGTTACCCAGTTCCAAACTTGCTGGGAAACAGGCAAACTGTTAAAGTGCCAAAGTTCCAATAGTGATGTCAAGGTGAATCAGTCACCAACGGCTGTGTAACAAAGTATCAGCAAATTTAGCAGCTTAAAACAAGAAAAATTTGTTTTTTAACAAAGACTGAGAGTCAGGAATGAGAAAACTGGCTTGGTTGGAGGGTTTGGCTCAGGGTGTCTCATTAGGTTGTAGGACAGATGTCAGCCAGGGTTGCAGTCATCTGAAGGCTTGACTGGGGCTAGAGGATCTGCTTCTAAGATTGCACATTCACAGACTGTTGGCAGGAAACCACAGTTTCTCACCATGTGGGCCTCTCCATAGGGCTGCTTGAGTGTCCTTATTATACAGCAGCTGGCTTTGTCCAGGTGAGTGATCTAGGAGCATGGAGAAAACTGCCTTTTATGATGCTGCCATGTTCATCATGTAACATAGCACCCCACTCTCAGTACCAATTTACTATATTAGTCTGTTCTCATGCTGCTAATAAAAACATACTAGAGACTGGGTTATTTATAAAGGAAAGAGGTTGAATTGACTCACAGTGCCACATGGCTGGGGAGACCTCACAATCATGGTGGAAAATGATGAAGGAAGAGCAAAATCACGTCTTACACAGTGGCAGGCAAGAGAGCTTGAGCAGGGAAATTCCCCTTTATAAAACCATCAGATCTTGTGAGACTTATTCACTAACATGAGAGATGTTTCAGCACAGGAAAGATCCACCCATATGATTCAATTACCTCCCACTGGGTTCCTTCCATGACACATGAGAATTATGGAAGCTACAATTCAAGATGAGATTTGGGTGGGAACAGAGCCAAACCATATCACCCTCTTAAAGGATGAAGTTTCCAAGAATTTATGGGCATATTTTAAAACAGCCACACATGGTGTGTGAATTGGGGGCATTGTCTTTAGGTAGTGCCAAAGTTTATTTTTCAAAAGTTCAAAACTTGACTGTCATACAAACATATAGTGAGCATGTGTCAAAGATTTACTATTTTTCATAAGCGAGGGAATCAGCAAGATTACAAAGCTGATTATCATAAGATAATTCAAGGAATGGAAGTTTATATAGCCAGTCAAGAAATAAAGGCTGAAATAGGTTGGCTAAGTTACATTTTTAAAGACAGCTTTATGACTTGCAAGGCAATAAAACTGCACCCTTTGTAGTTATCTTTTCTATCAGACAGAAATAATGTGTAATTTATCAATGTTCTCTTAGGTCATAGCTAATTACAGAGTCGGTGACCTAGTTAGTAAGTCAAGCAAAGGGATAGGTCCAGAGAGAACCTATTGTTGGTGAGGCCTGTTTAATAATGTTCTCATATGATATTTAAAGTGTATACAGTCATCGTTTCATTTTATTTATTTTTAATTAATTAATTTATTTATTTGTTTATTTATTTTTGAGGCAGAGTCTTGCTCTGACACCCAGGCTGGAATAGTGTGGCTCAGTCTTGGCTCACTGCAGCCTCCACCTCCCAGGTTCACACAATCCTCATGCCTCGGCCTCCTGAGTAACTGGATTACAAATGTGCATCACCATGCTTGGCTAATTTTTGTATTTTTAGTAGAGATGGGATTTTGCCATGTTGGCCAGGCTGGCCTCATTTCATCTTATTTCAACTGTCATTTCTATTTGGTTAATTTATAATTTAATAATTTTGTACAAGACAGTTTCTACATTAATTTTGTTTTTTTGAAAGGTGTCTATCATATTAGGGGCATTATGAGGATTACATATTATCAGAAAATAACAACTTGATATTTTATTTATTCTTGAACACTTGTAGGGTGTTTTGGTTCATATGTCTGAATACCATTTCTTTAAAATTATGCTTTAATAATAAGTTATTAATAGTTATCCATGTTATTCAAGATATAATTAAATTGTTTTTTTGCACCCTTACCTTTATTTCAGATCCATCACAGAGAGTGCATGGAGGTATTTTAAACTGTTAACTGTTTCACAATCACATACTATCTTACCAATTACGTATTCAAGAAAGATTACTTATGGAATTATAGACGGCATGAGCTAGATTTTATTTTCTAAGAAAATAATCAGATACATGTACAAAAATGTTAATACAAAGATGTTTGTCACAACATGAGTTTCAATAGCAAAAAAGAGACAAAAAAATGTAAAAGACCAATAACAGTGGATAGGTTTCAATAAATAATGTCACAGTGACACAATTAAATATTATACAGCTGTTCAAGCATGCCATTATTCATCGTTAGTATGGAAAGATATTCAGCTATTTTGCTACACAAAAAAAAAGGAGGTTGGAAAAAGTATAGGTTCTGTGAATCTGTTATATGAAAGCTGTCTATAGTTGCATGTGTCATGTGTGTGGAGAAAAAAGTATTGTCATTGGTTTTCTGATGATGCACTCAGAAATGACAAGTATTCACATTTTTCATCTTGCCTGATCTGGATTTTCAGGTTTTTCTACAATGAACATGTAGGCCGAACATTCCCAAAGCAGGAGAGTCCCCCTTCTAGCATCTCCCATAGGTCTGGCAATGGCAGGCAGGAAAGACAGAGGAAGGAAGGAGAGAGAAGGGAAGGAGTGAAGGAAGGAGTGAAAAAGGTAGGAAAGAAAGGAAAGGAGTGAGGGAGGAAATGGGGAGGGAAAGAAGTAAAGGAAGAAAAGAGGGAGGGAAGAAAGGAAGGGAAGAGGGAGTGAGTGAGTGAGTGAATGAATGCAAGATGGCGAGAAGGAAGAAAAGGAGGAAGACAGGGAGGAAAGGAGGTTGTGCCTTCCTTGATCATGGGCACTGACTCTTAGGGTCTGGAAGCCCCTGGGATGCAAAAGCTGAGTGCTCACAAAAAGCTGGAAAGCCTCAAGGAAGCTCTTCAAAATTGCTGAAAGGAAACTCTCCAGAAGCTTCCCTGCCCATGACAGATAATGAGCAGCAAGTGTTTCTGGCGGCTTAGGGTGGTGCGAAATCACTCTGGAAATCCTGCTCCTCCTCAGGTCCTGGCAGTTTCAGGGCCCCTCCCTAGGCCTTACTTAAAAGGCTGAGGCATCCTTGGAGGAGCAGGCAGACTCCACAGCTTTCACCAGGAGAAAGGAGCATTCTGAGGTATGCTTTGGGGCACTGGTTGGGACTGGAGCTCTCTCCTGAATCCAGACCCAGAATCTGCTCTGCAGAGGCTGTTCATATGCTGGGGGACTCAGTGCAGCTACTTCCTACCCAGACCCTGGCCAGTTCAGCCTCTCTTTCCATGATTTCCTGTTGTTTATTCTAAAATAGGGGAGTCTACACCCTGTGGAGCTCAAGATGGTCCTGAGTGGGGCGCTGTGCTTCCGGTGAGTGTATGAGACCCTGGTTTGGTGGTGTCCTCCAGGGGAAGTGAGTTCTGGGTAGAAGCACTGTCCAGCTTTGAGCAGGAGGGAAGAAGGGAGGGGCTGCCATTGCAGCTGGGAAGTTGTGACCAGCACCTCACTGCTCTTAGAGAAGTTTTCACAGCCTTTTTCAAATAGGGACAGGACTGGGATAGGCCATCTCACAAGGGTTCCCTGATGCTGAGGGGGACAAGTGAACCACCCAGTCTAGAGCTGCAGCCAAGTCTAGCCAAGGTGAGAATGAGAGCCAGGATCCCTCTCAGAGTTCTGCCATTGCCACTCAGCACAGTGAATTGACGTCATCTCACCCACTCTGTGTCCCTACCTTCCTGATGCTTTTGGGGGATAATAATAAAACCATGACCATTAGTCATCTGTTCACCCACTGGCATGTACTAAGCCAGATACTCTGCCATGCTCTGGATTTTACAACAGGGGATGAGAGTGGTCCTTTCTGTCAGTCTAATAAAGCACTTCCCACAATGTGTTCTATGGAACTCGATCAGAGAAGTTCCACAAAAGTGTCCAGGAGATGCTTTATACAGAGGAGCTCTCTGATCAAGTAAATGCAGGGAATGCTGCTTTCTACATCCTCTCATAAGAGAACCACAGCACATCTCAGCATATGAGTGACTCTGAGGCTTTCTGAAACAAGGCAACTTGTTGAATGGTGTTTGGCCATGCATCGATCCAGTTTTTACACCGCCTCCTTTTCCTCCATGCAACATTTGGAGAAACCAACTTTAGGATACATATTTTACCTCATAGGATGTCAGGAAATCAACTAAGTTCCTAGATGAGAAACCACTTTGATAAGTAAAATAAAAGAAATTTAAATTTAAAGAAACTCCTCATTTAGTAAGGAATACATGGTCAAATAGAAATACATGTTTCTTGAAGAACTGAAGAATCAGACTTTAATCTGAAAGAGGCCTGGGTGTTAGCCAACCCATCATCTTAGTGTAGCAATGGGGAGGCTCAGGCCCAGAAAGGGCAAGAGAGTTGTCTGCTGTGATTCAGCAGCATTTGAGGCAGAGCTGGGGACAAGAATCTAGAGCTCTGACTCACCATGCAGCTTCTCTTCCAATAGGAGATGGGTTGAAATGTAGGTTGAATAGGGTGAAGGAGCAAACCACAGACTCCAGTGGGAGGCTGTGGGGTCATCCTCCTAGTAGGGCATGAGGCCAGCAGGGCTGGGAGAGAAGAAGGCTGTGCTGTTACTTCTGGCATAGTAGGAAGAAAGAGAGACAAAATGCCTGAGATCAAGGGGTTCTCTGGAGCCAGGGCATGCTGGAGTGTCCACCCTCCCCCTAATACAGTCCTTACCCCTTCCTGATGTTTCAGAATGAAGGACTCGGCATTGAAGGTGCTTTATCTGCATAATAACCAGCTTCTAGCTGGAGGGCTGCATGCAGGGAAGGTCATTAAAGGTTGGTGACAAAACATGACCCACTTTCCTTGGTCTCTATACACTCTGAGGGATGGGGGCCTAAAGAAGGTTTAGAATAGTCGTACAGCTTAGCACAGGCCTGTACAGCCCAGGCATTAGGGCAGCACAAACCAAGCTTTAAGCAAAGGCAAACAAAATACCACACTTCTCAGCAAAGTGAAGACACCTGAAGCTTCTATGCAGAAGTGGGAATATTTTCCAAGAGGCCTGTCTTGTCATTCCCTTGCAGGTAGAATGCGAAACAGTCAAGCATCGCATTCCCTAGGAGCCAGTGCCAAGGAGATAACTAAAGCAAGATCTCTGTACCTTTTTTCCCTTATGGGAGTGGGTTTCTGCCTCTCCACCCTGGGTCCTCTCTGCTCTCTGAGGACTCTCAGTTACTCAGAGTGGAGGGACCCAGAGAACAGGTGGCATTGTTGGACCTTCTGCTTGCTCACTCTGCCCCATGCATTGCAACAGGTCCCTCTCTACAATAGTTCACATTTGCCCCCCCAGGGCACCCTTACTGAGCACAGATGCCAGGTAGATCCTTCAGCTAGGACATAAGTGTATGGTGTATGTAGGTGAGCATGCAGGCATATATGTGTGAGCATGTGTGTGCTTGTATGTATCTCTGTATAACCATGCATGTGTGTGTGCGAGTATGCATGTGTGAGCATGTGTGTGTACATGTATCTGTGTGCATGCATGTATCTGTGTGTGTATTTGGGTATGCATGTGGGTGTATGATGTATGTGGGTGGTGAGGGGATGGTACAAAGAGAAATGAGATCCTCTTTTGCTCTCAGCGACCTCACAGGGTGTAGAAAGTTGTCCAAACAATCCCAAAGAGGGGCTCATCAAGACAGGTTTCAGAAAAGAGGCCTGAGAGTCAAGGGGCATTAAAAGATGGGGTTGAATCTACCTTGGGGTATAGAGGCTTTAAGATTTGACCCTGAATTAGAGGGTGGGGTAGAGGTGGTACAATGTGCTTCTGTGCCTTGATATCCACTCTGGGCCAGTGGAAAGAAGAGGCCATGTCATGACAGCTGCTGAGAGGCCTCCCTTCTGCCTAGCCTGGGGGCAAGCTGTCTCACAGCAGTCCTGTGCCCTAGAGCCCGGGACAGGGGGAGAAGGAGGGAAGGAGGGAAGGGAATCCAGGGCCCTGCATCTTACCTCCTTCCCACAGGTGAAGAGATCAGTGTGGTCCCCAATCGATGGCTGGATGCCAGCCTGTCCCCTGTTATCCTGGGCGTCCAGGGTGGGAGCCAGTGCCTGTCCTGTGGGGCAGGGCAGGAGCCAACTCTAACACTCGAGGTGAGATTAGGGGCATCCTCACTGGGGACTGAGCCACAGATGCTAAGCCCTCTGAAGCTGGGCAGCCCACAGCCCTGGTGCTGTGGGACACCTTTGGGGGATTCTGTTGATGGCAGCTCTGCCTCCTCCCTAAGGACCCTGTCCAGCCCTCCCTCTGCCTCCTCCTCTGCCCTCACCTGCCCTGCCCTCCTCTGCCGGTAGCCAGTGAACATCATGGAGCTCTACACCGGTGCCAAGGAATCCAAGAGCTTCACCTTCTACCGGCGGGAGTTGGGGCTCACCTCCAGCTTCGAGTCAGCTGCCTACCCTGGCTGGTTCCTGTGCACGATGCCTGAAGCTGACCAGCCTGTCAGACTCACCCAGCTTCTTGAGAATGCTGGCTGGGATGCCCCTATCACAGACTTCTACTTCCAGCAGTGTGACTAGAGCAACATGCCCCCCAGAACTCCCTGGGCAGAGCCAGCTCAGGTGACGGGTGAGTGGAGGAGACCCATGGCAGATGACTACTCTCTGCTCCGAAGACCCCCACCTTTGACTCACTGGTCACACAGCCACCTTCTCTTCTGATTCCCCGTTTGGGTAAAATCTGAGATTTGGAACTCAGTCCACAGTCCCCACTTGCTGGATGGTACTACTGGCGTGGAACTTTGTAAAAACCACATGGGGTAAACTAGGAATAACATGAAAAGATTTCTATGGCGGTGGGGTGAGAGAGTGATGGGAATCATTCCTGCTTAATGGTAACTGACCAGTGTTACCCTGAGCCCTGCAGGCCAAACCATTCCCATATAGGGTCACTAGCTCTCCACATGATGTCCTGTGCAGGAGAGGGAGGTGGTCAGAGAGTTAGGGACCCACAGCCCCGTCCCCTTCTGTATAATCCTGCCACTGTCATACGTTACCTTTTCTATCTCTACCCTCATCCACTCACCGTGGGCATGAAGAGGTGGTGATGTCAGAGGAAATGGCTTCAGCTCAGAAGATAGAAGATGAGCAGAGCATGCCGATCCTTTTTTAAAAACCTAAAGTACAAGAAAAATCCCAGATGCTGGTCTCTATCCCCATGAAAAAGTGTTCATGACATATGAAAAGAGCAACTTACAAAGTGGCATATATTATAATTAATTTTAATTTTTTTGAGATGGAGTTTCACTCTGTTGCCCAGGCTGAAGTGCAGTGGTTTGATCTTGGCTCCCTGCAACCTCTGTCTCCCAGGTTCAAGCAATTCTCTTGTCTCAACCTCCTGAGTAGCTGGGATTACAGGTAGGTTAGTAGAGATGGGGTTTCACCATGTTGGTTAGGCTGGTCTCAAACTCCTGACCTCGTGATCCACCCACCTCAGCTTCCCAAAGCGCTGAGATTACAGGTTTGAGCCACTGTGCCCCTCTATTTTAATTTTTTAAAATACCTGTTTATATATTTCTTCATAGAAAAAAGTTTGGAAGAGTTTACTTCAACTGTAGCAATGTCAGGGTGGTGGCAGCATAGGTGATTTTTCTTTTTATTCTTTCAATTTATCTGTATTTCCTAATTTTTCTACAATGAAGCTCAGTTGCTTGCATAATAATAAAAAAGAAATTAATCTCGAGGTAAACAGAGCAGACATCATCTCTGATTTTCCTCAGCCTCCACTTCCCCAGAGTTAAATTCAAATTGAATCAAGCTCTGCTGTTCTGGTTGGTTGTAGTAGAGATCAGGAAACAGATCTCAGCAAAGCCACTAAGGAGAAAGCTGTGATGAGTTTGTGTGGCTGGAATCTCCTGGGTTAGTAACAAAGAACCAGATCATGTGGTAATTCTTTCCTAGAAGGATCACAGCCCCTTGGATTCCAAGGCGTGGGGTCCAGCCTCTAAGAGGGTTGCCGTATTAGTTGAATTCACATCCTTCTTGGAATCTCGGTCGGTGACCTTATTTGGAGAGAAGGTCTTTGCAGGTGCAGTTAGTTAAGACGAGGTCATGCTGGTTGAAGATAGACTTAAATACAATATGACTAGTGTCTTTATATAAAAAAGGAGAGGACACAGAGACACAGAGGAGACACGGGGAAGAAAACTGTAAAGACAAAGGCAGAGATTGGAGTTATGCTGCCACAAGCCAAGAAACATCAAAGACTGTGGCAACCACGAGAAGCTTGAAAGAGGCAAAGAAGGATTCTTCCCTAGAGCCTTTAGTCTCCTGACTTCTAGCCTCCTGAATGAAGAAAGAATAAATTTCAGCTGTTTTATAAGCCACCAATGATAATTGGTTATGACAGCTCTAGACAACTAATACAGCTGCTAAAATGATCCCTGTCTCCTTGTGTTCACATCCTGTGTGTGTCCCCCCCGACAATGTACCATAGTTGTCTTTGTGAACAAAAGAATATGGCAGAAGTTATGGCATGCCACTTCCAAGATTAGGTTATAAAAGATGTTGCAGCTTCTACCTGAGGTCTCTCTCTCTCTCTGTCCCCCACCATCCCCAGTCTCTGTTGGCTCACTCGCTCTGGGGGAAGCTAGCTGCCATGCTATGAGCAGCCCTATAATTAGACTTACATGGTAAAAAATGAAGTCTCCTGTTCACAGCCACATGAACGAACCTAGAAGCAGATCCTCCAGTCCTGTCAGGCCCTCCAGTGACTGCAGCTCAGGTGACAGCTTGGCTACAGCCTCATGAGATGCTGGAGCAGGCTGCCTAGCTGAGCTGCTCCAGATTCCTGCCCCTTAGAGACTCTGTGAGATAATAAATGTTTGTTGTTTTAAGTTGCTCAGTTTTGGTCTAACTTATTAAGCAGCAATAGACAATTAATATGCAGGGAAAGAGAAACAAATGCCTTTGTTTTAATACTGCAGTTTTCTCCAATTTTTAAATTTTCCTTCTCACAATGAACAACTATCCTACGTTTACCCAAATATTCTATTTAAAAGCTAATAATACAACATTTGTTGAATCATCTGGTTCTGCAAAGTTGAGATCCTCTAGTCCTATGTGCCAGAAATGGACTGCAGTGTCCCCAACCAAACCCTGGGGAATGGGAGCAGAAACCAGAGGAGGAGCTCGTATCTGAGCCCCAGGTATTCCACCTACATCTCACCTGTTGGACCAGCATGGTAGGTTCATAGTCCACCGAAGTACTAGCAAGGAATTGGCCAGGACATACAGGGCTGCCTCTATGGGCCTCAGCAGCTCCAGCCCAAATTCAGCTGAAGTCCTCAGGCAACAGGCAGCACAGTTCCTACCCCAGGCCTCTCAGGGCCACCAAGAACATGAGCTCCAGGCGCCAGGCTGCATTTCAGGCCCTGTTCACATTCTTTGTCCATGGGTCCAGACACAGTCTCGTGTTGCTCCCTCTGCTTTTGGGCCCTCCATCTACCCTCTCTGCCTAGATAAATCTCTCATTTTTCAATACCCTGCTAAGATGTCACCTCCTCCGAGAAGCCTTTACTGAGTTGATATCCCCCAGCTATCTGATCTGGCAGTTTTATGCCAGGTCCTGCACAATGTGTCCCTGCATTGCAGTACCTTAACTTGGAGTCTGTGGCCTCTGGGATGACCTTAAGGTTAGGGCCATATAAGTTTGTCTCTCAGAACATTGCATAATGCTTGGCACATAATAGAAACTCAGTGAGTATAGAATGTGGAAACTATTTCTCCACCCCGGAATATTATCTCTCTCTCCTCCACCCATCTAAACAGGCCCACCCTTAAGGGAGCAGCTTAAATTCCATCTCATTCTTGAAGGTTTCTCCAGCCTGAAGTTGTTGCCTCTTCATTTGCAGGATGACAGAACTCAGAGGAGCTTTAGCCAGGTTAAGCCAACACAAGTCAGTAGTAAAAGGAGGAATATAAAATGCTTCCTTCAAGAATGTACAGGCTGGGGGACATTGACATTATGACTATTCAAGTGAAAAAGACAGTGGCTTTAGATTTCTGCAATTTTGATGTAAACTACTGGCCTGGGCCTATATTTACAGAGATGGAATGCATCATTCAGGGTTTGTACAAATTGCAGACATCAAGGAACAGAGAATGTTCCAAGGTCAGGTCATAGGGGAAGAGCCTAAGATGTGGGAGGTATTATTCTGAAAAAAGCAAAGCACAGGGAGCTCCCTTCAAACACCAAAAGGCTTGCCAAGTAGAAGAATATGCTTGTTCTGTGTAATTTCAGAATAAACAAGTAGGACCTGTGGGTGAAAATTATGTGGAGGCTGTTTTTCCCATATGACCCTCAATTTTTAATCACAAAGACCACAAACATTGATAGTGCTTCTTTAAGAGATTGTGTGGTCTCTGACCCTGGAGGTGTTGAGGCAGAGCCTAATTCACCAATTTCTTGGGGATTCCATAACACAGATTTCTCCAATTGGAGGGATACTATGATTCCATGTCTATGAGGTGGAGTCTTGCTCTGTCGCCAGGCTGGAGTGTAGTGGTGCAATCTTGGCTCACTGCAACCTCCGCCTCCCAGGTTCAAGTGATTCTCCTGTCTCAGCCTCCCTAGTAGCTGGGCCTATAGGCATGTGCCACCATGCCTGGCTAATTTTTGTATTTTTAGTAGACATGAGGTCTCATCATGTTGGCCAGGCTGGTCTTGAACTCCTGATCTTAAGTGATCTGCCTGCCTTGGCCTCCCAAAGTGTTGGAATACAGGCATGAGCCACCATACCCAGCCTAAAGTCCTTTCAATTCTAAGAAATTTTTGCCTAAGGAGTTTCTCTGCACTATTATGTCCAACATGCCCTTGGCCCATAGCTTAGAGAGTCTGTTCTTCTTAATTATCTTTTCAAGTGTTTATGACTTAGTTCCTTAGCTAGACTGTAAAAATACTTAACAACAGGGACTGTGTATTGAATGTTTTCATCACACTGCAGGATAAATGCTGGGAAAACACTCATTGGTTGCCTGACATAGTAACTCGCGCTGTAACCCTTCCCACAGAAGGGTGAGAGATTGGGAGAGCAGAAGAATGGTCACTGGCCTTAGAAAGAAGAAATCTGGTCCCATTTCTGCCCATCTTTTCTCATTTCTCATCCTGTAGGCATCTGAGTCTTAGACCCACCCATCCCACTCCTCAAAAAGCCCTTGAAACTTTGCAAGTAACCCAAGAGGGAGAATTACAGCAAAGTTGTTAGTTTCCAGAGAACATTACACCTAAGCCTCTCCACCCTTGTGATAGATGGATAGATAGAAAGGGGGACAGAAGGGTGGATGGATGGATGGATGGGCAGATGGATGTACGTATGTATAAATGGATGGTGAATGGATGGAAGAATGGACAGATAGGCAGACAGATGGGCAGATGGGTGGATGGGTGGGTGGATGGATGGATAGACTGAGAAAAATAATGTCATTTTAAGACCTGAGTGTTTTTTCCTTTGCTCTGCTCACACTGTCATTATTTCCTAGTAGTCCATGGCACATGATGTCAGCTCAGTCCCTGGGTGAATCTGAGGTAATATCTTTGCAGCTGGGTTTCCTTAGATGTTCTGTCTCATCAAACTGGTGCCAACTAATTAAACCCACTGAAAATCAGAGACTCCCTTCTCATCTTTCCAAACAGAGCCACACTCACTAAGTGCTATTAGCCCCTTCTCTTAGTCTGGCTGTCTGGCCCCAGGCTGGATTCAGGCATCAGAGTTTGTTCTGTCCTTGGGCTTGCCAGACATACTCTCTCTTGCATTCACAACCTCTTCAAGCCTAGGATGGAGCCCCATGGGGCACTAAAGATGTCTGACCCTAGCACTGTTTATCTAGCTTCAAAACCACTAATAACATAGGTACAGAGCAGGGGCCCCGAATGACAGTAGGTACAGAGCAGGGGCCCCGGACCTTTTTTCTGCAAAGGCTTTATGGATGACTCTCTCCCCCTTCAACAAATACTCATTAATGTTCCCACCTTATTATTACTATATCAAAGACATTGTGAAATCTCCAGGCTCTTCTTCCTTCATGTCCTGCAACCAATTATAGAGATTGCTGCAGGCTTCCCACCCTGACCAGACAGTATAAACACAGGGCAATGCCCTGAAGAAGTCAGTTGGAGTCTCCAGGGATCAGGGTTCCAGGCACCCAGGATCTACAGGTCAGTGATGGACAGGCAGTATTCTCTCTCTCTCTCTCTCTCTCTCTTTTCTGCTCTCTCCTGTCAGTATCTCTGATATGCCCTCTATCCCTTCACTCCTCCTGGCAAGCTGTCTGGGTAACAAGGTATTCCCCTTATCGAACATTTAGGAGCACATAAAGAGATTTGAGGAGAAGGAATAGGTTAAGCCAAATCAAGATTTTTAAATACTTAGCACCACAGACTTTAGAAAGCAATTTAAAAAAATCATCTGGGCCAGTGATATTCAAACTGTGTTTGGTGGAAGTTTAAGAGCTTTTTTTAGCTCCTTAGAAGCTTCTCGGTGTCTTCTTTGTAGGCAAGAGAAATATTAGCAGGGTTCCAAAGTCACCATCACTTCCTGTGTCTGCAAAGCAGGTGCCCTTTATCCATTTTACAATCATTAGAATTCTGCATAAAATTTTATTGTGAAGCTTAAAACAGTTTTGAAAGATACCTTGCTCAACCTTTCCTTCCAATGATGATAATTGAAGGCCCAGGGATAAAAGGTGGCAAGGTAAACCGGTAGCAGAGCTAGGTCTAGGACTCAGTCTTTCCATTCGAAGTCTGCTGTGAGTGATTCTATGTCCCACCAGGGTATTTCTGTTAGAGTGGTTGGAGAGAGCTTCAAGCGAGCTGTCAGCCATCTTCATGACCTCAGGATCTTATTAACTGTTATAAGGGAAACAAATATCTTTATGTACAACAATAAATAATACAGCAAAATTTAATAGGAGTTCAGAGTAGAGTTACAGTAGTAAGGGAAAGAGTCATTAAACTCTGAGTCATGGAATTATAGATAGTTTGGCCTAGAAAGAACCTTCATAACCACATCATCTAATCCAATGAATTTATAGATGCTGAAACTGAGGGATAGCCCCAGAAGGAAGTAAAATCTACAAGGGTTGAAAGAGGTATGAAGGGAGTCCGTCAATGTCAAGGGTTCCAAGGAGGCAGTGAGCAAACATCAAGGCAATCAAAAGAATCTTTGGATCTGGCTCCACAGAAGTAAATATTGGTCTTGGAGAGAACATCCCACATAGATCCTATGCAGGAGAATGAGGAGAGGATAGGACAGGGTGCTGTGCAAAAGAACATGAGGAAAACCCAGGTTTAGTGGTGGTGGTATTTGAGCCAGGATAGGTGAATTGAGGAGGTCTGAGAGCCAGATGTCGTGTCCAGTGAGAAATGAGAGGAAAAGAGGGATATAGACAGAAGTCCAGTGAAAAGTCATTTTAGGACAATAGGGAGAGGAAGCTTTGGGACTGAGGCATGAGACACATTGGGAGGGGCTCAGCACTCAGCAGAGACTTAGCACCAAGACCCCAGGCTCTTTGATGGAGCAGATGCTAGCTTCCTATTCCTACTCACTCCATCACAATCCAGCAGAGGCCAGGCAGAGGGAACCTAGTAGGGGAGCCTTTAGGAGAGGCACTGTAAATTACGGGTGTGCCAGAATGGGAGATTTCTAGGGCCCATGGGTCCAGCTGGACTGGACCAGCACTGAATTTCTTCCAGCTCTTTGAGCTGACACTGACCAAGGATGGGAGTCATCAGCTTGCTGTCCAGCTTCACCCAGGGCCCACTACTTGGTCTGGGCACAAGGTTTGTGCCCCACCTAGATCTGGGCACAACCGCCCCGCTGCCCACAACCAAAAGAGACCCAGTGGTTTGACCAAGGGGAGCCTATCATCAAGTGGGCTTGCATTGAGGCCATGACACTGTTGAATTATCTGTGCCGGGGGATTGTCTAGTCCTTTAGGACTCAAAGTGCTGGCCAGGAGGAACCAGCAGCATGGACATCACCTGGTTGCATATTTGAAATGTAGTCTCAGGCCTGGAAAATCAGAATCTATTTTAACAAGACCTATAGAGGGTTTACATATTTATTAATGAGTGTGAAGACTGAAAGTACATCAGTTCCCAAGCAGTCTGGCTGATTGCTGGAATCACTCCAAGTCCTACTGAATTAGAACCTTCAGCCCAGGAAACAGTAATTATACAGAGTCCTCCAGGTGATGCGGATGGGCAGCCACATTTAGGAGCCAATGAGTTTCACTGAAACTTGACTTTAAAAATGTTGAAACTTACTTGATACTACAAAGGAAATTTATCTTCATTATAGGAAAAATATTGAGATGTTTAAAAAATTACTCATAAAGCCATAGGTAAATGATGCAACAACATGGGGAATGTTCCTGTGTGTCTTTCTATATGTGTGGATTTAAGTGGAATTATAATGTACACTTGATTTATAATCTGCATTTTTCACTTAATACATTTTGAAAATCTTTTATGTCATAAAACAGACTTCTACAATATCATCTTTAACAAACACGTATTTCCTTATTTATTGAATTTTGCCATAATTTCTTAGCCAATTACTAGTTATTATTGAAAATGTAGATTTCTTTAACTTCTCACTATTGTAAAAATTTATGCAGTGAACATTTTTTAACTAAACATTTGGGCAGTCCCTTATTTTTCCTGAGAGTAAGGGCAATACATGCAATGACAAAGTATACAGAATGCTTAAGACTTGGGTTCACAGCACCAACATCCCTCTAGAATTTGCACTTGTCAGTCCCTATTATCCTTCACTCTAAGACTCAAAGTCACACCCCAAGGCCCAGGGACAGAAAATGACTAGTCCAAAGTGACAGTGGCAGACCCAGTACTAAAAGCCGCCTTGGCCACAGCCCTGTTTCTGGAACTTGAGTGCCATGCCCTCAGCACCCACATGTTTCTCCTCACCTGCCTCCCCAGGGTCCCCGGCATCACTCTATTCCTCCCTGAGCCCTACTGCTTTCTTCCACCTGCCTTCTTCCTTTCTCTTCTCCTCTCATTTTCTGCTTTGTTATGTTTTCTTCTCTTCTCCCTTCTGACTTGGTGACAATCAGACCTACTTGGTAAACCCTAGCCCTAGTCATACTTGCGTTACTTTCCTGCGCTAATTTCCAGCTCCCGATTGGCTCTGGGTTTATTTCCATGCTAAATTCTGGGCTGACTTCCCTAAGGGTGATCACTTTAGGGAAGAGCTCTAGGACAGGACAGCACACAGGGAGGGAACAGAGTCATGTGAAACTGTGTGGCTTGACATTTATACAAGGCAACTATCTTTGCTTTAGATTGTTCGCCCTCAAAAACACAAGCGCCATTTTCCATCGGGAACAGAATGAGCTGTCTTCAGCAGTCTTGGACAAGCACTTCTATTTGCTAGGAATGATGCTTTCCAACTCTCTGGGGGGACCCTACCAGCCTCACTGCTGTTGTCGACCCCTTCTCGTTGTGCTCTCTTCCTTCACTCTGGGCTCTAGCTATCTAACCCATGGCTAGTTACTGGGGGGCGGGAGTGTGGTGCCCCGTTGGCCAACAGGGCAGTGGGACTGGGTTTGAACTGGGCTTATCCTTCCACTGTGAGGGAGGCTACACATACTCCACCCCACTCTCTGGGCTGGGAAGTGTTGTGGCTCAGCTATTTGGGGGAATCTGTTTTCTAGTTTCTCAGAACTAGCATAAGCACACACGTCTGAGGCTTACACCCCTGCTGGCTGGACTTGCTCCTGGATGGCCCCAGTCAGGGAAAGGCAGAGCTGCCTGGAGCCTGCTGGGCTGGCAGAGGCCTTGGTGGATTCTGGCAGGCCAATTTTAAATTAATGGTCTGGGGGACCCATGCAGCCTGTGGCTGAGTGGTTCTGAGCCCCAGCATGTCTGCCCCTGGCTCCACCCAGCCTCCTTCTCTAACTGCCCTCCTCTCCTCCCCATCAGCAAGGACAAGACACCACTGATTGCAGGAATGTGTTCCCTCCCCATGGCAAGATACTACACGTAAGTTGTCCTGGCATGTCCCTGCTTTCCCAATCAGGAGGTCTGGGGATCACATGGGAAGAGGAAAGGAATGCTGAGCCAGAGGATGAGGCTTATTCTCACCTTAGAAATTGCAAGTGCCCCATAATTAAGCTTCATCACCATCACAGTAGCAACAGCTCTTTCCTGAATGTCTGCAAGATGCCAGCCAGTCTACTGCCTCACCTCTTTCCCAAAAAGTCTGCAAGGGGAGTGTTATTAACCCCATTTTGTAGATCTGGAAACTGAGGCTCAAAGAGGTTAAATAACTTCCCCCATGTCACACAACTTCCAAAAGGCAGAGCCAGGAATCAGATTTCGTACCCTCTGGGTCACTCCATCCACCTCTCTGAAATCTCAGAAACAGTTTTGAATCTCAGTGACAGCATTGAGATTCAAAAGAATCTCAATCCAAGTCCCTGTGGCCTTTACTCCCAGTTTGGGCTTCTAGCCATACTTGCATTTCAACTCATTTGAGATTTGCATCCTTCCTTATATTTTACTACTTTGTTGTCTATGCTTTGTTATGAGCTCCTTTCAGGAAGGAAGTGAGGCATGAGAAAAATAAAATAAGACTGACCTCTGGGATACATTTCCTCTGCTTCTCTCTTGGGCCCTGTAACAACCTGGGCAAGGTGGGTCGGGGCAGTCTTGGTCTCAAGGAGGTGACAGCCTGGCTGGGAAGCAAGACACATACACAGGAAGCACACAAATGACAAAACAGATGTCAGCACTTCAGGGCATCTAACCTGGGTTCTGGTCTCCATAGGATGCTGCTGCTAGCAGGTGAGTTGTCACATCTGCATTGTCAATGTCGGGGGGAAATGCCAGTTAGCAAGCCCAGGATCTTTTTGGAACTTTATTTTTATTGTACAAGTGAACCTGCTGTAAATACATACAGTCATTAGCCAAGGGTATTATCATTAGCTGTTACTGAGATAGAAAAATCTGCAGGTGGTGGCATTGGTCCAGAGGTTCTGCCCTATAAGGTTAGTGACAGCTCTCCAGGTCCTGACAGTGGCTGACAGGCATCTTTGAAACCAGCCAGGTGACTGAGCCTATAACCTGCGTGTTTAATGCCTTTAAAATATCTGAAAAGCAAATCACACTTCAATATACACTCAATTAATCTCTGTACTAAAGAGAATAAACATTTACAAACAATTAGGTCAGGCCCAAAAAATCTAAGGTAAGATTCACTGTGTCCCAAAGTCATCTGAGCCTCACTAAGAAATTTCTCAGGAAGCCAGAAACATTTTCTTTACTCCTCTATGGAAGGGCGTTGGCTCCCCATTCTCCTCGGAAGGCCTCCCCAAGCCACGAGAAGGCAGGAAGAACAGCCTCTGAAAAGCACAAACACAGGAGATCTTCCCTGCTTTAAGGCTCAGCTGGTCTTTACCTGCTCTTGGGAGTGATTTTTCCCCTCTGCCCACCTGTGAAGGAGAGAAAATCCCCCAAATGCTCCAGGTGGTGATTCAGAGCATGGAGGTGGAAGGTCTTGGGGGTCAGTGGTGCATAAATGGGGTGGGCCATCAGCACTGTTATACTGTTTCAGAATTAAATACGCAGACCAGAAGGTTCTATATACAAGAGACAGCCAGCTCCTGGTGGGAGATCCCGTTGCAGACAACTGCTGTGCAGGTGAGCTTCTGGGACCTCCACTCCATGTTCCATCTGTCATAGGCCTTCCCTTTTCTTCCCTTTCCTCTCCAGCAGAAGGTCAGCAGCTGCCCAGAGTGACAGTGAGAAGGGGCAGAGAGCAGCTGTGGTCTCTCTTAGTGAGGGGCAAGATCCCTGCAGAAGTCCTGGCTCACTCTGCAGTCTACAGGCAGGGCCAGGCCAGGGGTGCCCATGCCCAGTTCCTTCCTGCCTGAGCCTTTACCTGCCAAGAACCTGCATGGGGTTCCCTCACCTCTTGACTCTTCTCTCTCTTCCCTCCCAGAGAAGATCTGCATACTTCCTAACAGAGGCCTGGACCGCACCAAGGTCCCCATCTTCCTGGGGATCCAGGGAGGGAGCCGCTGCCTGGCATGTGTGGAGACAGGAGAGGAGCCTTCCCTACAGCTGGAGGTGAGAGGCCCCTCCCCATTCTAGGGGACACTGCAGACATGGCCTGGCCACTGGGATGCTCTGGCATCTTTGTGCCTATCTGTGGATTCCCAGCCAGATCCACGTGTCCTCCTCCCTCAGGTTTCCACCATCTTCCTCTGCACCTAGTGTCAATACCCCTGCTCTCTAGAATCTACAGAAGGCAGTCCCTTCAGTAAAAACTGGCCCTGTCAGGTCCTTCTTTGGCCAAGCCCCAGAGGCCTCCAGGGTTGACACCTGCATCGGCACCCTCATTCTGCAGTCATCCACCTTCTCCCCACAGGATGTGAACATTGAGGAACTATACAAAGGTGGTGAAGAGGCCACACGCTTCACTTTCTTCCAGAGCAGCTCAGGCTCCGCCTTCAGGCTTGAGGCTGCTGCCTGGCCTGGCTGGTTCCTCTGTGGCCCAGCAGAGTCCCAGCAGCCAGTACAGCTCACCAAGGAGAGTGAGCCCTCGGCCCGTACTGAGTTCTACTTTGAACAGAGCCGGTAGGAAGACAGGAGGCTGAGTTTCAGCCTGGTGCGCCCAACTCAAGCTCATCCTGCTCAGGGTCTATGGTAGGCAGAATAATGTCCCCCTGAAGACATCTACACTGTAATCTTAAGATCTGTGTGTATGTTACCGTACATGGCCAAAGGGACTTTGCAAATGTGATTATGTTAAGGATCTTGAGATGAGGAGACCATCCTGGGTTATCCAGGTGGGCTTAGTATAATCACAAGGGTCCTTGTGAGAATGAAGCAGGAGGGGAGATTCAGAAACTGGAAGAAACCGTGCTTTTAATTTTGAAGATGGAGTCAGGGGCCTTGAGCCAACAAATGCAGGGGTTTTTAGAAACTGGAAAAGCCAAGGGAATGAACTGTCCTCTAGGGGCTCCAGAAGGAGCACAGCTCTGCTGACACCTGGATTTCAGCCCAGTGACAACCATTTCAGACTTCTGATCTCTACAACTGTAAAATAATAAACTTCTGTTTTGTAAACCACTAAGTTTGTGGTAATTTGTTATAGCAGCCATAAAAACTACTACAGAGCCCCATTTGACCCCATGTGCAGTGTTTGATGCAAGAAACCTGTTGAGTGCTTAGAAAGCTACCCACAGCTTCTCCTCCAGTCCATCTGCTATGGAGCCTCTAGAAACAACCAAGAAGCCCCTGGCAGAACTCAGTGTCCTCTGTGCGTGGACAAAGCCTTGGGCTGCTTACAATGTAAGTTCTAACTCAAGTCTTGTGATACTTCACAGTGAATCGACAACTCTGTGGTTGACTGTTGGGCTATCTGCTAGTTGCTTTGAGTGTGCAAAGCAAGGAGTAGCAAGGGATAGGCAATGTATATGTCCTGGATATATTGAGTTTAAGGTTGCAGTGGAGCCTCTAAGTTGAGGTAACTTGGTGTGGCTGGGAGTACAGGGCTGGATTTCAGCTGAGAGTTTGCAATTGGAATTCATACTCATCCTCAGAACCCACACTTCGCTGTTTCATGGAGAATATTTGGTTGGGCTTAAGCTAGAACAAAGAACCCATAGTATCAGGACTAAGAGAAGGCATGGGCTACTGGTGCTCTCCCTCTGCTGTATTACTACTCAGCATTCACCTAGCATGTTCTGAGTCCCAACCATGGTGCAGCACTTTTAAGAACACTCTGTCTTCATCCTCAGAATGACTCTTCAAGGCAAGCACTCTCACCTCCATTTGACAGATGAGGAAACTGGACTAAAAGAAGTAAAATAACTTAATGAAGGTCATATGGGACCTCTGTTTTGGAGCTCAAGATTAAACTTGGTGCAGCTGAACTCAATGCCATTTTGCAAATTTTTATCCCACTTAAGGAGCTGGGGATAGAATGGTGAATAAAACCAAACTTCCTTGGAGCTGATCATTGAATGGGAGAAATACTAAATAAGCAAATAAACAAGAAAACAAAAAGGGCACTTTTCATGATTAGAAAATGAGGGCAGCAGGTATCCAATGGACATATTAGATTATTAGATAGGGGAGTTAGGGGAGAAGCTTTTTTTTTTTTTTTTTTTTTTTTAACTTTCTTGAAGAGGTAACATTTGAGCTGAGGCTACAGACAGGCAGGAACTGTGACTAGAAATAATCAAAGCCCAGGAGTAGCAAATGTGTTGGCCCTGAGACAGAAAGGAGCTGGTGTGTTCAAATAATAGTAGAAGGCTAGGGTGGGGGCTGGAGCCTGGAGAACAAGGGAGGAGTAGGAGGTAAACACGACCAGCAGGGTTGGGTCATGCGGGGCCTTGAAGGCAAAGTACAGGCCTCCAAGTATTAAGTGTGAAGGGAGCCACACAGCAGGCTCTGGTACGTTTAGGCTCTTTCGCTGAGCTGCCTCTCCACAATCTGTGTGTGCTCCAGGAACTTCATCGCCTGGTTAGCCCATTGTAACTGTGTGTTTACATGGTAGAACTTTGTGCTTTTTCAGTGCATGTTCTGTTCAATTTTGTGTCAGCTGTGGCCAGAACAGCTGCTGGTATGCAGAAAAGGCTGAGTAAATGCAAAATCTTAAACAAGTTAATGGATAACCACACTTGATTCTCCTTCTCCTTCTCCTTCTTTTATTTTTAGAGACAGCATCTTCCTCCATCACCCAGACTGCAGTACAGTGGTGCAACCATGGCTCACTGCAACCTTGACCTTTTGGGCTCAAGCCATACTCTGCCTCAGCCTCTTGAGTAGCTGGGACCACAGGCATGCACCACCATGCCTGGCCACGTTTTCTAAATTTTTTTGTAGAGACAGGCTCTCCTCATGTTGCCCAGGCTGGGCTCAGGCAATCCTTCTTGAACTCCTGGGCTCAGGCAATCCTTCCACCTCAGCCTCCCAAAGTGTTGGGATTGCAGATGTGAGCTGCCACATCTGGCCAATTACTTGGTTCTTTTTGGACATTCATAATACCGTACGAGGAAAGTTATGGTACCAGGCAGACCGACACCATTGTAGCCTAGAGGTGGAGCTGACAGGGAGGGCTGGGCGGGGCTTTCCAGAGGAAAGAGCATTTAATCTGGGCCTCAAAGAAAAAGCAGATGGTTTCCAGGCAGAGAATGCAGGAGTGGGCATCCCAGGCAGAAAAAGCAGCTCAGGAAGGTGTAATGACGGAGAAGAACTCCCAGCACATCTGAAGCATGGTGAGTCATCAATGTGGCTGGGGCCCAGGGCTTAGACTGAGGAGCTGTTGAAAATTCAGGTGAGAAAATGGGTGGCTCCGGATTGCAAATGCCTTGTGAAGGGGTTTTTTTCCTGGAGGCCCAAGGAATCATCCAAGTATTTCAGGAAGGACCCAGATTTGAATCTTGGGGCCCTCAAATCAACATTGGGCCAACACACATGCTACAGGAGCCTCAGCTCTTCTCAGCGACCCCCTCACTCCCCCTTTCCCTCCCTGAATTCTGCTCAGCACTGCCCCCTGGGGTCAGCTTCTGTGCTGTGGTTTCACAGTCAGCCTGACCCCTGCTTCATCTTCCCTGACCAGTTCATCGTCTTCATGCATGTGTTGAAAGATAAACTTGGGCATATTAAAATTTTAAGGAGTTTATTTGATCAGAGAATGATTCATGAATCATGAGGTGCCAAACTGCAAGTGATTCAGGGCTCCACCCACAGGGCACCAGAAAAACTTTTATAAGGTGTTCAGGAAGCAAGAGGAAGAAAAAAATTCATTGGTTAAGTGGAAAGTCTCTACTTGCAGACAAGCTGGTGAATCCTGATTGGCTAAATTTAAGTTTTGTTTTCTTAGTCAATGACCCTTCACTCTGGGTTGGGTTTAGTTTGCTTAGGCAGGAACCCAACACGCTGGAGCCATCTCAGCCTAATACCTTCCCAGTTAATTATTTTAACACATGATAACTCATTTCTGCCTGCCCTGCCCTTGTGAACGGTGCCCATGGGCCACCCAGGCAAACCCAGACCTCCTCCTACTAGTGGTCCCATCTCAAGTTGAATCATGTTTTTTATATAAGTAAAAAAAAAAATTCAGCATGCAAAATATGCCAATTCTGTATCAGTGCACAGAAGAGGAAGAGGACATAAAGACAGAGAAGACACGTCTCTATGACTGAAGGACACATAGTGCCGGTGGGAAGACCAGGCCTTGTGAAAAAAAGCTCATATTTATTGACTGCAAGACACTCCAAATAGCACTTTGAATCAAATTCTGCAGGACTCTGGTAGAAATAGTGATGGAACTTTCTGGCACTGGGAATTTAAAAGTAAGGAATGGAGCCAACTTCTGACAGGTGCAGTTCGGGGATGCTAAGAGTATTCTTCTCTCACACCCCAAGGCTCACCCCTTAAATTCCTTCTCCTCCCTAGAAACCACACCAAAGTCTACACTCCACAACCTAACCAGACGATCAGGGTTATTATTATGTAAATTCTAGGGAGAGGTACACTTTAGGTCTTATCCAGCATTTACATCTCAGGATGAACTGGTAGATACAGAGAGAGAGTAAACAGGCAGTTAGAACACAATATGGCCAGGCAGCACCAGGGAGCAGGGTGGGTGGGGACGGTGAATGTGTGTGCCTGTATGTGTGTGTGTGTGCTGTTTGTGTGTGCTTACAAGAGGCTCCAGATGTAGGCAGCAGTTGATTCATAGAAGGCCCAGTCTTTGTTCCAAGAAGCTGTGAACAACTTCACACAAGACAGTGATGAGTCCAGGGCCTTCTACAACCTGTATGTCCTAAGTCACTCCACCAGGTTCGAAATCTAGTCACTCTTCCCTTTGACCCAAGTTTTCATCTTGCAATCCTAAGCCCATGCATCATTACAGCCCCTATGAATACCTGCTCAAACGTTGTACAGAAAACTCCACAGTGCACACAATGCACGTTAGTTCTAGAGAAATCTAAACTCTGATTTAGAGAGGAAATGGTAAATGTGAAGGAAAATGAATACAACTTTAATGGATACTAACTTTTCCTTGATACCATTTTCTAAAATATACAACTATTTAATAAATGAATTTGACAGAAATGTCTGTAATGAACATAAGCAGAAGAGTTAACAACTTGGACTGAAGCACTGGCATTCGACTTACCTGACTTTATTTATGGTTGGATTTTACATTTATATAACTCAAAGGGTTCACCAGAATTCTGCCAAAACAGAGTCCATCTATACCCAGAGCAAATTCCAATCTCCGCCCTCTAAGGCACAGACTCCACACAATCTAGAGATGTGATCCCTGTGCCCATTTTTGAGGCTGGGATCCTGCAGTTCAGCCTTTGGGCTAAAGATGGCGACAGAGATCAATGTTGGCACTGCCTTTTTAGGGCTAGGATCTGAATAAGCCATAAGTTTAATTTTTCAAGTACTTAGCAGTGACGGTGTGTGTCAGCCTTTGTTCCTCACATCTCCACCTCACAGGAGATGTATTCTTCTCACACAATGCGTGAGAGTAGAACTGGATCCTGTGAAGACTTCAGGAAGTCTGGGTGCCCATTCTGTTGGGTAACAATTTTCTTTGCTCTCCCTTGTCACGAGGGACACAGCCCCTGCCCTCTAGGAGTTTAGAGCTTAGGAGGGAAGATAGATACTAGATGCATACTCATTTTGACATTTTCGCCACCTATGTGAAGGAGCGCCACACGAATGCTTGATCCCTTCTCCCTGTGACAGAGACACTGCTATGAATCTGTCTTCTGTATGCTCATCCCCTCCAACTCCCTTGGATGTCCTTGCCCAGGCTCTGGTCACAGAATTGGGTGACAAAAGATGCTGGGAGTCTTGCATTCTAGCAGAAGTTCTTATACACTGGAATATTTCTCATAGACATTTTCTGAAGGTCTGTAGTCATAGGCCCCATGATACAAAAAATAGCACTGGTTGTGTAAGTGTGTCTACATAAAGGACAGCAGATTTAGGTATTGGCTAGTTATATATTTTTTAGACTGGTTCCAGTGCACATATTCCAATGACTGCTCATAGATTTATGTAAAAAATGGGTTATTTTTGGTATCCCTTTCCACATACCTCTCC